CTTAGTCAGGCGAACAACTACAGGAGAATTAGAAACTCAAGTTTATAGGAAATCAACTCACACAGACCAAATACTGAATTACAACAGCAACAACCCAATAACACACAAAAGGAATTGCATACAAACACTATTCAAGAGAGCAAGGACTCACTGCAGCACTCCCACCTTAAGAAAAATTGAAGAAAAGTATCTCATGGACGTCTTCCAAAAGAATGGATATCCACGGAATTTCATCAAGAGACATATACCCCCAAGCCAACCTACCAAAGCAAAAGCCACCAAGGAAACACAAAGAAAATTGCCTTACCATATATAAAAGATATCTCAGAAATCACTACAAGACTCTTCAAACCTTTAGGAATTGACGTCGTACACAAACCAACAAAGTCGCTGCACTCAATTCTATGTCAACCAAAAGACTCAACAGCGAAAGAAGACAAAACCAACATCATCTACAAAATAAACTGTAACAACTGCGAAAAACACTACATCGGCCAAAGTGGACGTCCCCTTCGTCTTCGTATCCACGAACATAAGCTAGCCGTCAAAAGACATGATATCCACTCCCTCATTTCACTACACACAGACAACTACGGACATCAATTCGACTGGGACAACGTTCAAATATTAGACAAAGGAAATAACAAGAATGCTAGAGAATTTTTAGAAGCTTGGCATTCCAGTGAATCATCAATCAATAGACACATCGAGATAGACAAAATTTATCAACCAATAAGAAAGAAACTTCACACACAAAGGGTCAAAGTTCAAGTCAAAGAAACAACCGGTTCCAATACAAGTAACCTAGAAGGTGTGAAAACACACACAAACAACCAATCACGTCCAAGGTCACCAGGAGAGATGATTAATAAACTCGTGGAGAAATCTAAAAGCTCACTTCAAATTGAAGTATGCGCTGAAGATGTCACCCAGTAAGGTGATGAAAGCTTCGCAAACTAACCATCCAGCTCAGAGAACAAAACCACATCAAAATCATCCACCTGAGCTATAAATCTTCTCTATCATATCTAAGAAGGAACTGAAGTGTGCACTTTTAAAATCTAATGTCACAGGGTGGAGGGAGAGATTGATAACAGAAGCTTTGTTTATCAAATCGTATTTATATTTACCAAAAATGTATATATTATTCTAGTTTTGAGTAATAACGGTAACGTGTTTTGATATAATTACTCAGAAATGGATTGAAAAGTAAAATTCAAAGTTGTAAATTACATAGTACTCAACAACAATAACACAAAGAAGAAAGTCTCACCCCCCCCCATATTAATCAATAATAGACTACTATGCATTTTTAGCAGATATATAAGTACAAATAAGTATAAGCATATAAGTATATTTCATGGTCATCACACATCACCTTATCTATCTCTAAGAAGATGTTTCGTCTTACCTTCTACATTCAAAAGTTAAGTCAATCAGGTATCAACCAACCTTTAGTTTTGCAATTTTTAAACTCCTGTATTTTACCTATTGTGCCTACTCTATTGCTCTCCATTTATCTTTTCTGGGCTTCTCAAAAAAGATTACATCATATTACGAAGGGTATTTATTGAATGCTGTGAGTAGGGCATGTGGTCGGCCACTGAATGAGCTCGCCAATACTATATTCGAGAGGCATATAAATTCCTGTACGAAATGGGCAAAGGCCGTACTGTCAGACCCTCTGCACCCCCCGCCTTTATTCACACTTGTCCCCTTGTATCTCATCAGGTAGCACGAGAAGTCAGTATAAGTTAGAAGTTATATGCTCGTACCACTAAGTATAGAAATTCTACAATACCCTATTTAGCCCGTACTTTATGTGATGAAGACTGTTAGACATGAAACACATAAGTTACTATGTAATTAGCACACTGAATCCACCCTTTCATCGTTCGTTCATCTTTCTGTATTTTATGGTATCACACTTCCTGTCGTTTAATTATTACTCTACTATTTTATTTTAGTTGGTATTACTATTATTACTACAATTTTATACTTTATGCATATTTTTCACCGTATTGCATACAGTATTTTGCTATGTAGCTGCTGTAACAATCGTTTTATTATTATTATGTAATGTGTATTTATAATTTTTTGTTGTGTCGTTTTTGAGTAAATAGATGCAATATTGTACTGAATGCTGAAAATTCCTTGCTGTATCATTAGTACTGTTTTTGAAATAAAGCAAAAATTATTATTATTATTATTAAACTGTGCAGCCAGCCAGCCTCTAAAGATGATTTCGTCGACAAAGAAAATTTTCTTCATTGTCTGCATTGTCGTCTTTTAAATTTCTTTATGTCTCAGAAGGTTGAGCGTACTGCACAAATCACCTGCCCAAAAAATTAATTTTCACATAGCTGTCAGGAGTAAGAAAGTCGAGAAAGTTTGGAATATTCGGCCATCACTGCTTTCTTCCCGTTGTCTGTATTCACCATGTAGGCAACTTAGAAATCTGATGTGTAGACTCTGAGGTGAAATGAGGTAGACGGAGGAATAATTAGAGATTGGAAATGTTTTTTTTTTCTGTTTGCCAGTCATGAAAGGGAGTGCAGCAAGCGAGACTATCTGAGATTGTGATTGTAGTGTCATCGGAATATGTGAGATATAGTCATTTCTTGTAACCTATATTCTGATATAGTCCTCATTTTGTTTTATCCCACACATTTCTCAATTAAACAAGTGGCTTGTGTGGATGGATTGAAACATTAGATATATAGCTTTCTAAGAGTTTTGTGTCTACTGTAAGAGGTTTGAATTACTTATGCACTTCGAGACTACTCTCGTGGTCTGTGTTGTTAGTAGTGTGGTTTTCGGTAATATGATATCCAATTTGATTATGTGTCTACGGAATTTTTGTGGCTTTTACTGCCCAAATCTATTAAATAACGACTTATTTGGCTACAAAAGGTTCATGTTTTCCAGTATTGGTTTTGTAGGGATTTTGTTTGATTGCATGAAGGATTTAATCATGAGCTGACATTACTTAGAGAACCATTGGAAAACCTGCAGGGAGTACTAGACAGCTGTTTCATCCTAGTTTGGGACTCTTCAGCAGTACTCACCCACCGGGATTCGAACCCAGGACCTTCTGGTTACAAGGCGAGCTCGTAGATCATTGAGCCACTGGGACCCGATCCAATGGTCCTTGAATTCTAAATTCTGCCAGTTCACGACATAGCGCGACCACTTCGCAATGTCTTCTTCGATGAGTTACTGCCTCATCTTCAGCATGCTGTACCCTACTGGTCACGGCTTCCCACTAGAACCCCAGGTCAACTGCCTGAATAGGGCCAGCCACTAGTGAGCATCAGGTTAATTTTCCAGTATTGGTTTTATAGTTAGTTAGAATTCAAGGACCATTGGATCGGGTCCCTGTGGCTCAATGGTCTACGAGCTCGCCTTGTATCCATATGGTCCTGGGTTCGAACCCCGGTGGGTGAGTACTGCTGAAGAGTCCCAAACTAGGATGAAACAGCTGTCTAGTACTCCCTGCAGGTTTTCCAGTGGTTCTCTAACTGGTGTCAGCTCATGATTAAATCCTCCATGCAATCAAAAGGTTCATGTGTTAGGTAGGAATACTCTGCACCGACTTATGATAAGACTGTAGAATATCTGGATTTCACGTGAAGATTATTTATGCCTAATGTCACACAAAACTGCAAGACTTACAGACGAAAACCAACAAACCGAAGACTGAAGAGGCTGGCTGGCAGGCAGGCATCGAAGACCAGTGGACTCTAAGTGAACATAGAGAGAAAGCGGAGATGGAGGCGATGAAGATAACCAACAAACCGCGCAACACCAGCAACAACCAACACCAATCACCATCAACGGAAAGAAATTTGACAGAGGTTAACATCCTTCACTTTATCTGGCTAGGACACTAGCATCGTTTCAAGTACTGGCGGCAGTCGTAATAGATGAGTATGTTAAAACCCCAGTCAGAATCGGTGAGACAAGCATGATAATCCTTCATCAACCTGAAACCAGTTTGGAATTTCTTCCGCATTCAGCATAAGGAATAAGATTTGGAATTTTCAACACCAATGTCAAGTCGATTCTTATATACACACAGGTCAGAAACTTGCACTTTGTGTAACCGTGTAAAGGATTTTCGAACAGGTCACTGCAGACGTTTACTAACAGCTGCCGCTTTCGCTGGCTCTCTCCATACTGAAGATCAGATGGCCAGCCAGCCAGCCAGCCAGCCAACCAGAAAGAAAAAGTGACAAGAAACTCTGACTGTGAACATACCACAACCAAGAGCCGATCGCTCAACAAAATATGTAAGAGAAAATGGAGTTGGATTGATAGGGGGCATAATACATTGAGGAAGGAGGCCGTTGAATGACACCGCATGAAATGCAGGCCATACATCACTCGAAAGGGAATCCAAATGGGAAGTGACCCACGAGTGAGTTGTCACTTCGACGGTGACATAGAGGAGGAGATGGTGTGTTGGGAAGCTGGAGGCGCAGATGACAGATTATAGAGAAGGACAGCGAAAAATAGGAGAAAGTGTTAAAATGTGTTGTGTTGAAGACAGCTGTATGTTCCACTCGGAACCAAAGGGAATACTAATACTACTAATACATTTTTACGCGTTCCCGTTATTGATATTGCATAGTGTTTTTATTGTAACGCCTAGCGGCTTCTGTATTTATTATAATTTTTTTTACACATAAAAGTTATTTATTTTGAAAATATCAAATAAGTAGTATGTTGCATGTGTTTTTTTTGTCTTTCGTTGGCGTCAAATTGGGTCTCTCAGTATGATAACTATAAAATGATATCGTTGCTAAGCAAATTGTAAAATGTAAGAATGAACACTAACTATCCAGTTGAAGTCTAACCCAAGCAGTTTGCATTTGCTGTACAGTTATGGTTCTTCTTTTTTTTTAAAAAATTTACAGAAGGCTTGTTTTCAATGTGTGTTGCTGAATCTCTGCGTAAATGTTCTGCGCTGTTCTTTTGGCGCTGAATTTTCGGTGAATTCATTCACAATAGTGATGATGAGTAAGAATTTCTAAAAAAAATTAGAGGTAAAAACACAACAGATTTAAGTTTGTCAATTAAATATATAATAAATAGCTTTTGACGAGTTGATCGCGGATTGATTGATCATTTAGAGAAGCATTGTTTTGTGTGTCTCAGTAGCCTATTTATCACTCCTGCTCTGTGACACGGCAGGAGGAAGCGCGGTTGTTGTTAATAATCCGGGCAACGGCCGATCCGGTATGAAATTTTGTGGTTTTCTATGTATCATTATGTTGGATTGGTTAGCTGCTTTTTGTTTAACCGCTATCCAAACAACCTGCCTGGCATGGTAGGACCTCAAGAGACCTAAGTCTCAGCCAGTATAGCTTGAATAGGTCATTGCGGTGTTCAAGCCCGACCACCACGTCAAGGTAGCAGCTTTCAGTCGGTGGGGAGGCTCATTTCGCATTTGCCAGTTTACGCCGGCTGGCTATCGACCAAAAGGCGAGTGTATTGCTCATCAGTCCGCTCCGTCCTCCTTTATGGCTGTGAGACCTGGCCACTGATAGTAGAAGACATGAAAAGGGTGACTAGCTGTCTTTGATCATAGTTGCCTGCGCTCTATTTCCCGTGTAAAGTGACATAATAAGGTGAGCAACATTGAGGTTAGGCGTCGAGTTCTAGGTAAACAGGGGAAATCAATCGACGAAGTTGTGAAGTTAGTTACAAAGACTGAGATGGTTAGGACATGTGCTACGTATGTCAAGTCATCGCCTCCCTCGACGAGCAATGTTAGCGGATATAGGGTCAGGCTGGAAGAAAGCTAGCGGCGGTCAAACAAAAACTTGGCCTCACCAGTCAATGAAATTCACAACAGTTAGTCTAAGCCATGTAGGAAGGTGTAGACTTCCTGACTGGTTGGGGTCCTCGGGACGGTAAAAACAAATGGTTGGAAACAATTGGTGACATGACTCAAAACCGTTTTCAGTGGCGCAGATGCATCCACTCTTTGTGACTTATGATTTCCAATGAAACTGTTTTGTTCTTCGTTACAACTATTCCTTTGTCTCACACCTCTGTTTACTGTCTCTATTATGCTTTTCTTGTAGTTTCTTCTCTTGCTTTGTGTGCTACAAGGAGGGAGTGTGGCGACTTGAACTTCTGCACATTTGTGCAAAGTTCTATGTCGAAAACAGACAGACAGACAGAAAGTTTACTTACTTTACTTTACTTCGGCTATCTCCTACGGGAGGATGAGCCGGCTTCATGAACATCTCGAATCATCGCTGCCCAGGAGCGGAAATCTGATGCAAGGTTTTCCCACGACAGCCTTATCCAGTTCTTGTTCCACAGACGGAGTCCGTAGACGGTTTGTAGCCCCAGCCCAGTCACTCCATATCAGCCTTGACTCACTGTACCAAGCCATGTTTTCAGCTGTCCACCCCCTCCTGCGACATCGCCAAGATAAAATGGATAGGGCGAGGAGGGATTTAGAACTGATTTGACCAGATCGTCATCTGGTCGGCCCGGCTCAGAACATGGCCAAACCACCGAAGGCTACGTTGTTCGACCAGTACTGGAATTTGGTTGATGTTGTAGCAACGAGAGTTGATGAAGTTTCATGAGAATTAGGTACGACTGATGTCCTCAGAATCGCTCGGCCTTTTGTTCGAGAGTGCAGCTCTAGCCTTTACACAACCAACCAAGTGTGACCTACAAGGCAGTAGGTAGTCCACTATCCATTGGAAGCCAGCCGGTGGCCGGAATCCGGTTCATACGCCTTTTTGAATGGGGCCAGACATGCACCAGGGCATCCAATAAGCCCTTTGTCCATACGTCTGCCTACCGGTGAGCTTCATACGCCAGTCAGGCAGGGTTTAGCCATCTCCCCTAGACTGTCATCCAATGGAAAGTCAACCCGGTGAATAGCGCCAGGCATCTGCTTTTGCCCTCTCACTTCGGTGAATAAAAAACGCCTCCGCCATGTGAAGGCAGTGAGCAGGACTTCCTCAGGAGAGGCTATGTAAGACGCCCGGTCATATGGGAGCATTTCAAGAGGTGTACGGAGGGGTGGCCAACCCACAGCGTAAGGCACCCACCCCCGACCAAACTCTTGAAAGATTTCTCATCTCTGTTTAGGTAATATTTTTTTTAGTTTTGCAGTAATTATGTTGTCATGGTTCACGTAATATTACTATTCAGCTTAGCGATATATTTATTGTTCTTGGAGTGCATTAAAAAGACGGTTGTGCAGCGAGGAAGAAAAGCGCTTTTCTTTCCGACGAAGTCACTGTCATCTAGGCTGTACATTCGTGTTTTTATAATCCCAAATGGATGGGAAAGTTTCAGAATAATTTTGCAGTCAAGAGCGAAATTAACAAAAATTACAATTAAGAATTAAAATGACATAATAAACACGCGCGGTTGCTAGGGGGACGGATAAAACTCACACAAACAGGGCATCATAATTACTGAGAAGATTAACACTGATTGTGCAATTAGGGGGTTGGAAATGTAGAAATAACAACAATAGATAGACAGGATGTTTGGATAACATATCTAGTGGGATCATAACTGATGTGACGAATAATCGTTTGTGCAATTAGGGATTAAATATGTAGAAATAATACAATGACAAAATAGACAGGAAGTTCGGATATGAAAGTATGGTAGTGTAAATAGTGGAGGGATTAAGATAAGCTTAAATATAACAGGAAGTTTGGATAAGAAAGGCAATGGGATAGTCACTGTTAAAAGAATTACCTGTTAATGATGGCCGTGGTAAGGACAAGGATTGAAAGTATTTCATTTGGATACACATAGATAAGGGGTTTGAACTTCTGGATGGATAATGCCTCGGCTATGCCTAGATGTCTTAATTTTACTCCGTTTGATAGATTTGATCACATCTTGTATGTGATTTTGAAGGATTTTGTCGGATGGCGCTGAATGTCCTGAAATGACCAGATGTTCCGTCACTGAACAATATACCACGTTTTGAAGTGTTGGTTTGTAGGGATTTGATTGGTTTCAGGATTTCATCATGAACTGACATTAGTTAGAGAACCATTGGAAAACAGGCTGGGAAAACTGGGCAGCTGTTTCGTCAGCCTAGTTTGGGACTCTCCGGCAGCAGTACGCACCCACACGACTGAGGTTCGAACCCAGGACCTTCCGGTTACAAGGCGAGCTAGCTCGTAGACCATTAACAACTGGGACCCGATCCAATGGCCAGCCCATGAATTCTAACTTCTGCCAATTCACGACATAGTGCGACCGCTAGCCAATGTCTTCGCTGGCGAGTATTTGTTCTCATACCTGACCTGCTGCACCCTACTGGTCACCACTTCCCACTGGAACCAAGGTAACTACCTACCTGAATAGGGCAAGTCGCCAGTGAGCATCCTATTGATATTCAAGTGTTGGTTTGTAGGGATTTGATTGGTTACAGGATTTCATCATGAGCTGACATTAGTTAGAGAACCATCTGAAAACCTGGGAGTACACGTTTTCATTCCCCCTTTACTATCCAGACTGGACAGTGTTCACGCGGGCGTTTTTAAAGTTGGCGAATGGTACGGCCGATGTACTCAGCAGCTCCGCATGAGGAAGTAAACTGGTATATGCACGTTGAGGTGGCCCAATGCGACAGCTTTTCTTTCGCGTTCTGGCTGAACAGTCAGTTTCTTGTAGGAAACGTAAATCGCAGGCTTGCAGCGAATTATGTTTCCTTCAGAGATTTACAGAGGTGTTTATGAAGGATTTCGGTTTCACTGTCACTTTTGAATTCTAGATTAAGCAGAAGTATCTTCTTCGGGATGGATGGATTGTACTTGTTTGGAAGTCTTCTTTGGTTAGGGATTCTTGTCTATGAACTTGAGCAGAAAACCATTTTCCATCAGGTTTCTTGGAGTAAGAATTAAATTCTGTTTATGTTTTATGTCAGGCATGCTATGCAGTATTATTACAGCATATGGCACTCATAAAATAAATATTCTCTCTCTTTTAATGTGGTTTTGTTCTCTGAGCTGGATGGTTACTTTGCGAAGCTGTCATCACCCTACTGGGTGACATCTTCAATTCGAATTGAAGTGAGCTTTTAGATTTCTCCACGAGTTTATTAATCATCCCTCCTGGTCAGTGAGTGACCTTGGACGTGATTGGTTGTTTATGTGTGTTTTCACACCTTCTAGGTTACTTGTATTGGAACAGATTGTTTCTTTGACTTGAACTTTGACCCTTTGTGTGTGAAGTTCCAATACAAGTAACCTAGAAGGTGTGAAAACACACATAAACAACCAATCACGTCCAAGGTCACTCACTGACCAGGAGGGATGATTAATAAACTCGTGGAGAAATCTAAAAGCTCACTTCAATTCAAATTGAAGTATGCGCTGTAGATGTCACCCAGTAGGGTGATGAAAGCCTCGTAAAGTAACAATCCAGCCAGCTCAGAGAACAAAACCACATCAAAATCATCCACTTGAGCTACAAATCTTCTCAATAATATCTATATTCTCTCTCCCCCATAATATATATATATATATATATATATATATATATATATATATATATCATCAAAAACACCAATGTAGTCATGAAGAAAATAAAAGACAATTCAGCGAAGAAAATTTCCCTTATCGATTAAATCATCTTCAGAGGCTGACTGTACATTCATATTTAAGAAAGGATATGGTGCCTGCCAATGATACAATATCAATAGTGAACTCGACAGAGATTCAGATGAGTCCTTATGGAAAATGGATGTTTCAAAATTTATCAAAACAAAAAAAAACATGAAAGAGTAAAGCGCAGAAAGCCGAAGGAACTGCTATATTCATGAACGTTGAATTTAAAGGTAATAGCGTGGTTGAGAACCGCTAGTTATCTAGATCATCATTGTGAAAAGCTTTCTTTTCAGCTGAATGAGCTACGGGGGGATCAGTGAAGGATAAACTGTCGCTTTGGACGGATCACTTCAATGTGTGGTTATAAATGTAACTAGCTCCGCCAGCCAGCAAAACATCAGCAAACAGGGAGAGATCCCCTGGCAATGAATCAAAGAACCAACACAACCCAACAGGAACTGAGTGTGCTACAAATATGCAGGAAGAAATTGAGGTGAATTGGATTGTGTGGCCATACTCTGAGAAAACAAACCATCAAGTGACTAGTGACATCACATGACAGGCTCTCGATTGGAACCCTAATGGGAAGTGGAGAGTTAGTTGGTCGTCAGTGGGCGAGGGTGACATGGAAGAGGAGGTTATATGAAAAGGAGATGAAAGCATGTGGTCAGACGCGTGGAGTCAAGTGATAAAACGTTGACGAAGAACACCGAAGGCAATGGAGACGTGCTTCTGAAGTCCTATATTCCTCTAGAAACTAAAGGAAACAATAATAATAATTTTCCAAATATGACAAAGTAATTTTTTAAAAACTAAGAATATTCTCCTTTTTTTGGTAGTTTGAATAAGTATCCTTTCTTCCAAGTACCCGAGGATTGGAAGAAAGGATACTTATTCAAACTACCAAAGGAAGGAGACTTAAGTCAATGTAAAAACTGGCGCGGAATTATACTCCTGTCCATCCCAAACAAAATACTAAGCCGAATCATCCTGGAGGGAATCAAACACGCCAACCTGAATGAAAAAGTAAGATCGGAACAGGCTGTATTCGGGAGAAACAAGTCATGTATTGAACAAATCGCCACTCTACGGATCATCATGGAAAAACATTAAAATTATCCCTATACCAAAACCATCTTCTGGTTCTGATATTAAATTTCGGCCTATTGCAATTACTTCCCCGTTTTTAAAATTGATGGAAAAATTACTTTTACTTCGTCTTGAACCCGCTTTGAAACCTTTTAATGATCCTAAACAATTTGCATACAAACATGGTAGAAGTACCTTGGATGCTGCGGTTGTCTCATATCACAATGTTGTCTCTTGTTTAGACAAAGGTGCTAAATATGTTCGTAGTGCTTTCTTAGACTACACATCTGCTTTTGACTCTGTACCTAGGGGCCTTTTATTAAATAAGCTATCATTGACACAAACAGGATCCTGGGCTAAGAGTTGGTTGCATTCCTATTTTTCTGATAGAATGCAGTATACTGTATATAACGGCAAATCTTCTTCTACCTCGCTTACAAAATCCGGTGTTCCACAAGGTGCTGTCCTCTCTCCTTTTCTTTCTTCTTTCTTCCTACATGACCTGCCTCATTCAAACGAAACTAACTTTGTTAAATATGCAGATGATCTGACTGTATCACTGCCTATCACTTCCGAGTCTGACAGCTCCAAACTTAATAGCTTTCTGTTGGACATCAACAACTGGTCCAAGTCAAATGGTCTTATATTAAATCCTTCCAAATGTCAGGTGCTTGACTTTACTTTCAAGCATCGACGTGACTTACTTGAACTAGTTAACTCTCATGATCCCTGTAGCATAGATGGCACGGAAATTGAAACCAAATCAAGTATTAAATACCTTGGACTAGTTTTTTCCTCTGACCTTTCATGGTCATCCCATATCTTATCTATCTCTAAGAAAATGTTTCGTCTTACCTTCTACATTAAAAAGTTAAGACAATCAGGTATCAACCAACCTTTAGTTTTGCAATTTTTAAACTCCTGTATTTTACCTATTGTACCTACTCTATTGTTCTCCATTAATCTTTCCTGGGCTTCTCAAAAAAGATTATATCATATTACGAAGAGTTATTAAATGCTGTGAGTAGGGCTTGTGGTCGGCCACTGCATGAGCTCGCCAATACTATAGTCGAGAGGCATATAAATTCCTGTACGAAATGGGCAAAGGCTATAATGTCAGACCCTCTGCACCCCCTTTATTCACACCTGTCCCCTTGTATCTCATCAGGTAGTACGAGAAGTCAATATAAAGAAGTTATATGCTCGTACCACTAAGTATAGAAATTCTACAATACCCTATTTAGCCCGTACTTTATGTGATGAAGACTGTTAGACATGAAACACATAAGTTACTATGTAATTAGCACACTGAATCCACCCTTTCATCGTTCGTTCATCTTTCTGTATTTTATGGTATCACACTTCCTGTCGTTTAATTATTACTCTACTATTTTATTTTAGTTGGTATTACTATTATTACTACAATTTTATACTTTATGCATATTTTTCACCGTATTGCATACAGTATTTTGCTATGTAGCTGCTGTAACAATCGTTTTATTATTATTATGTAATGTGTATTTATAATTTTTTGTTGTGTCGTTTTTGAGTAAATAGATGCAATATTGTACTGAATGCTGAAAATTCCTTGCTGTATCATTAGTACTGTTTTTGGAATAAAGCAATTATTATTATTATTATTATCATTGAACAAAGCTTGGAATGGCAGTCACACCTCGCTCTAACTCAACTTCATCGACTTTGAAAAGGTCTTCGACAGCGTCGATCGAGAGGTGATTTGGCAACTACTTCGCTACTACCAAGGGGTGCCATCGACAATTATACATCTCATCCAACAGTTATACGACAATGCTGCATGCCAAGTAATCCACAACGGGAAACTTACGGAAGCCTTCTAAGTGAGGACGGGAGTGAGACAAGTCGGCTGGCTGCCTACTATCACCAATGATTTTCCTGACTGCAGTAGATTGGTTAATGCGACAGACAACGGTAACCAACGAGGGAACAGGCATAAAACGGACTCACACATAAAGAGACTTGGAGGATCTGGACTTCGCCGATGTGCTGTATATGTCTGATTTCCCACAAACTGGAAGATATGCAAGTGAAAAGCAACAAGTTGGCCAAAGAAGAAGCATCAAAAATAGGACTTCAGGTGAACATAGATAAAACAGAGGTGATGAAGATTCCTGGCCAACACCAACAGCCGCAGCGACAACAACAGACAACAATCAGACAGCATAAATGGGAGGAACCTGAAACAAACGACCTCCTTTACCTACCGGGAAAGTATCGTTTCAACTACAGGCTGACGGAACTGACGAGGATATCAAAGCCAGAATCGGAAAAGCAAGGCAGGCTTTCATTATTCTCAAATCTGTGTGGAAGTCAACATTCAGCACTCAGCATCAAAAATAAGGTCCGGATTTTCAACTCCATTGTGAAGTCAGTGCTACTATACGGATCAGAGACTTGGCCAGCGCGGCATAAAGAGCATCTCCAACAAACTACAGACTTTCATCAACAGCTGCCTTCGCTCAATACTCAAAATCAGATGGCTGGTCGACCAGAAAAGATCAGCAACAGGGATCTCTGGCAGTGAGTGAACCAACGCAGCAGGAACCGATTGTGAAACAAATATGCAGGAAGAAATGGAGATGGATTGGCTGGCCATACGCTGAGGAAACCGTCAAATGAGTGACATCACTAGACAAGCCATTGCTCGAGTGGAACCCAAAAGGAAAGCGGGTGGCGAGTTGGTCGTCCAGGGGTGACTTGGAGGAAGTTATGTGAAAAGGGACATGAAAGCATGTGGGCGGACTTGGAGCGGGGTGAAAAAGTTGACAGAAAACAGAAGGCAATGGAGGTGCACAGCTGAAACCCCTATGTTCCTCTAGGAATTAAAGGATAAAATAATAATATTAATAAATAAGAATATTCTCACCGTTGAGTCTCTTGTTAAGACGTTCAAGTGATTTTACCAAATTTTCTTCTTCCATTGACAAGGCTGATGGCACTTTCGTTCCTTCTTGGGAAGGTATGTAAAAAGGTGTAGAAAGCAAATCAATAAAAATTAATAATGATTATATTTCACGAGAAAGTGTGATGGTAATGTCTTCAGTAAACATATTAAATGTGTGTGTGTGTGTACTGTTGTTTGTTAACAAGATACTTGTTATGATCAGAATTATACGAGCTAGTAGACTTTGAGTGAATGACTAACTTTAATACGCTGGCTGATCTGTCCTAATCGCACTTAGACAACAACAACAATAATAATGACACCGCTGGGCCTCGAAAAGACAGAAGAAAAGATTGAACGTTGATTGGTGAGAGAGCTTTTACTGTCTCAAAACAACAGTCCCCGAAAAAAGGTCATTGCACCAGCGTATATAGTTGGGCAGGGTGAGAGAAGTACAAACACACATGTAGAAAATTAGGTATATATAGATATATATCAATACCAATGGTCTGATAGTGTTCTCGTGATGTTTTGTAGGGAGGTCTGGGATAGTAGGTGACTTAGTAGTGGTTGTGTGTAAGGTTGTTTAGGTTTTATGATAATATCCAAAATCCATAAACGACTTGGTAACGCCAAGAATGGGGAGACGATTGTTTTCTTCATGAACTGCTCTCTCATGCGACCAGGTAAGTTTTATTCGATAACTTTCACAAAAGCGAAGTACGAAAGTCAAGTGCTTGTAACCGGACTAAAGGAAATGGATGTTCATCTAAAAGGTACTAGTGTGGTGAGAGTTGGCTACTAGCCAAAATTGGTGGTCAGTATTTTACGTCAATGTTTACGTCCCCAATATATTTGTCGTGAGAAAAAATATCAACAAAGACTGAGTCAACAACCAACCACAGCAGATTTTGCGTAGGCGGGTACAGTTAGCATATAGATGACCTGATATTCAAGAGACAGTCCCACAAAGAGATGCAAGGTTAACTTTCTGTGAGAAACAACCACCAATCAGAAGACTGTGTTTTTCTGTTAACAATAATCTATAATATGTGCATAAAAATCTATAAATATGTGCTGTTTTCCTTAATAAACGATCTGTTGACTGGCCCTTGTTATATGTTGTTACACTAGGAAAATTTGGACTGTAAATTTATGGATTCAGGAAAAGTAAATCATCTGTTGATCGAACTGAAACTCTATGCATCGTCATCATCATCATCACAGAACAGAGCGTAGAGTAGTAGTCAAATCTCTCATTTCCCCTACCTCAACGACTTCGAAAAGGCCTTCAACAGACAAAGTTGACTGAGAATTAATTCGGAAACTGTTTCAACACTACAGTGTGAAGTGCCCAAGTATTGATCAACCTCATTTTAACCAGAGCTTTATAACAATAGCACATGTCTACAACGGAAAACTCAGCGAGACCTTAGACATGAATGCAAAAGTGAGACGAGGTGGCTGACTGCCTATTATCACTGATGGTATCCGTAGCTGGGATGGACTGAATCATTTGTCAGACTGTACGTGAAAAGACAGGAATATGCTGCACTGACCGATAAGAAGACTGTAATAGAAGATGTGGATTTCACGCGTGGATGATTGATTCTGTTGAATATCACACAAACTCGAATACCTGCAGGCAGGCAGGCGACAACTGGCAATACACACTGACTGAAGAGACTGACCTGGCTTGCAGCGAAGACAGGACTGAATCCGGGTAAACCGACTGCAACAACAACCAGCATCACCAATCACCATCAATGGGAGAAAGAACTTGTGATAGAGGTTGTACTTCCTGCCTTCACTTATGTAGCCTAGGCAACAGCATCGTTTCAGCTACAAGCAGTCGGGGCTGCCTCAGCCAGCATAAACAACAAGTCTCGGATTCGATTCAGCACAAATGTCAGTGAAGTCAGTCAGTCAGTCAGTTCTTCTATGAGGGTCATAAATTGGCCAGTGGGGCACGCAAAATATTTCCACACGGTTACTACCACCTTTTCTGGCTGGCTGGCTGGCTTCATATTGAAGATCAAATGGCCAGCGGGAGAGAAAGAATTACCAGTGAGGAAATCTGGCTGGGAACGAATCAGCCAAGAATTGATTGTCCAACTAATATATATATATATATATATATATATATATATATATATATATATATATATGTAGGAGAAAATGGAGATCCATTGAACGGGGATCCATTGAAGAGGGATGACTTCGAATGACATCGCGCTCAATGCAGGCCATCGCTCGAGTGGAAGGTGAATCGGAAGTGACGGACGACAGGGGTCATCAGTGTGGGGGGTGACATGGAGGAGATCATGAGAGTTGGATGCGATGGGAAGGTGACAGATTATGGAAAATCGTGGGGCTAGCCATTTGATTAGGACAGGTGAGTGCAAATGGTACCAAGGGTGTCAGGTTTCGGCTTTTGTTGTATGCCGGAGACGTTCGCGATTCGTCAATACAACTCATGTGTTCCTTTTGTACATTTTCATTTTAACTTTATGACGTTGAGAACCACGTAATTTACAACTTTTAGTTTTTTTACTTATAAAGCAACTTCCGAGGAATTATATCAATTATGTCACTCAATAATAGACTATTATACATTTTTAGTGAATATAAATACGACTGTACAGCCAGCTTCTGAAGATGATTTCGTCGATAAAGAAGCATTTTCTTCACTGAATTTGTCTTTCACTTTTCTTCACGAAAAATACCCATAAGTAAAAACACAGTTTTTTTTGTTTGTTCAGCGAAGAAATTTCTCCATTCAACGACTTCATTTTCAAGCCAACTGTACAATAGTCGTATTTATATTATTTATACTTCAACTCTACCCCTTATAACATTTTAATTATATAGTTATTCTTTCCACTTATATGGGTATATTGACTGAGCAATTATTTAGTGCCATTTAATAACCACCTTTTTCTGTAATAGAAATACGACTATTGTACAGTTGGCTTGAAAATGAAGTCGTTGAATGGAGAAATTTCTTCGCTGAACAAACAAAAAAAACTGTGTTTTTCGGTGAATTGTAAGAACTTTAAGAGGGGAAATTATTGAAGAGCATATTCTTTGTTCAGATTGACTTTTAATTCATATGATATGGGAATATTTCACATTAAATCATATATATATATATATATATATATATACTTGTGCGTTGAATATAAGCAATTTAAATGGTTGGAGGCAATCGGCCACAGGAAGCCTCGCTTGACCTAGTGCTAGTTCGTGCTAGTTCACACTCACCAGTTCGTCAGCAATGCGTATCCACAAACACCCTGAAGGAATAACTCATGTCCCTAGATCAGGCAAAGCTTTCTGTGGTCGACTGACTCCAACCATCTGATTTCATCAAATCAGTGTGCACCGTGATTGCAAGCCAGTCACCTAATGGCATGGTTTCCACATTGCAAACTTGACTGACTGACTGACTGACAGAATTCAGTCTGCACCAAACAGAGGGTATAGACACATCATACTAGCTACTAGGGTACAATAAAGTGAAGGGATTAAAATGAACATTTGGGAGATACAACCTCCCCTTTTTCAAATATTATTACTATTATGATTATTATTCCCTTGAATTGCTATGGGGGAGAATGAGGCTTCAGTAGCGAATCTCCGTTTCGGTCTTTACAGTGTGGTTCCCATCAGCAGCAGGGCCCTACGATCTCTCGTAACCCTTGAGCACTTTTCAACACTTAACTCGTCGTTTCCCACTGGGGTTCCATTTTATCAGGATAGGAACAAATGTGCCGAGTAGAAACTTTTCTTTTTCGCCTTGATCAAACGTTGCAATTAAAATCTCTGCAGGAGTATCTCCCTTGAATTGTAGACGGAAAAGACAGAGGTTCATTTCTCGACCGTTGTGATTTTATGTGTACGACTATTGTAACCTATGTCGACTTTTATGATCTTCTCTCCGGATATCCCGAGTGATCTTGAGTTCTTTCTCTACAAAATATTCAGAACAAATCAACCTGACTCTAGATGTCAAGCACCTGATTGATCAGATTACGTTCGTATTTCATCCATACGAAGCTAAGGAATTGTGTGTGTGCGTGTGTACACTGAGTTTTAGTCTCTAGTTTTCTAAATATGGTTCTTTTGACAGAACAGAAGACAAGGGCCAGGCAACAGATCGTTTTATTACCGAAATCAACACGTATTTATATATATTTCACATACATTATTATAGCCTAGTCAAGTAGACAAACGCAGGCTTCTGATTGGTTGTTTCGGGTAATCACCGAAAAATAGAGCCATCTATCTGCGAATCATATTTGCCCACGTTTAAGTTTGCTGTGATTGGTTGTTGAAACAGCCTTGTTCATATTTTCTCACGCCTAATATTAGTGACCTAGACATTGACGTAGATTAATGTCAACCAATTGGCTAGCAGCCTGCTCTCACCACACGTTTCTCGCTAGTAGGACGTCGAGGAGGTGTAAAGAGTCGTTGTATTCTCCTTCGTAGGTGAAATGGACTACTGGATGAACATTAGTGAAGCTGCTCAAAATCAAATCACTACGTAACTCTTCATCGTTCACTACAAAAGTGTCATCTATGCAATGACAACACATATCCATTGTTGTTATTTCATCTATCAATGGACTATTTTCTACACTTGCTAGAAATGTGTTCACAAAATTAGGTCAATTATTTCCTACACCATATTCTGCTAATCTATCATGACTAATCTCCCATTTCACCAAAGTATTTTGTAAATGATTTCAGCCCACAGCACAACGTTTGTCACACTCAAATACTACTATTTATTTTGACGCCCCATGAGTAATCAGTTATTCTACGTTAAAAAAAAGTGTATCCGCCGCATAACTGGTTATCATTGTTGTAACGAAAAAAAATGATTGTAAGGCCCTGAAGAGGGAAAATTGTCGAAGAGCATATTCTTCGTTCAGGTTGACTTTTAATTCATATGATATGGGAATATTTCAGACTAATAAATATGTCATATAAAAGAAAAGAAGGCGTTCAGCGAAGAGACTCTTTTCGACGGCGAATTCATTCAGTGAGCTGTACAATCG